TGTGTGTGTGTGTGTGTGTCTGTGTGTGTGTGTGTGCGCGGCGCGCGCGCGCGCGTGCATTCACATGCATCTGTTCATGTGTGCACATGTGTATATCGAGGCCAGAGTGTCATTCTTCTGGGTGCTTTTGACATTGTTTTTGAGACAGTGTCCCTAAATAGCCTGATACTTACCAAGCACACTAACTGGCTGGCTTGTGCCCTCCAGGGATCTCCTGTGCCTACCCAGCTGTAGGATGACAAGCATGTGCCACTATGCCTTGCCTGCCTTTTTGAGTTCTGGGGTGCAAATCAAGTCATCATACTTTGCACTGAAGCTAAGCTGTTTCCAGCCTGGCGTCTGTTGTCTGTTAGGGTTCCTGTGGTCCTACAGTCTTGTCAGTCTGGAACCTTCTGAAGGTGATGAATAGCACCATCGTCTGTTTGTATGCAGGCTTACTTTAAAGAAATGGTCATTCCTAGAATAAATCAAGCATAACCTACATGCCAACCTTGGTTGTTATAGAGTGTCTAGACAGTGGAATATTTCTTAGCATGAAAAAGCAAGCAGGCAACATGAAGTGGGATGTCCATACATATGCCAGAGATGAAAGTCGTTTGATGAGATTGAACGAGGTTTGTTGGGTCAGAGGAAAGGAGAGGATTGTTCTAGGTGAAGGCAGATTGTCCCCTTTTGTTACAATAAATCTTTCCGCCAAAAGCTGCCTGAGCCCCACCGCCACGTGTGAGCTTTACGCCAGCTGCCCGCCCGAATTAGGGCCCAATCCATGAATACACAGAAACTTGTATGAGGTACAATGCTGCTTGGCCAATGACTAGGATTCCTCATCTGTTAGCTCAGTCTTAATTATCATAAATCTATATATTTTATAAGACTTATCGGACGCCTTATTGGTGTCCCTCCTTGCCGGTGGATCACATCTTGCCGGTGGATCACATCATGCCGCTGGAGCAGGAGCAGGAGTGGAGGGGAAAAGAGGGCCCTTCCTGTTTCTCCTTCGCTTAAATATGAGTCTCCTTGCTATGTCACTTCCTGCCTGGATCAGCACTTCTCTACTTCGTTTCCCAGAATCCTCTTTGGCTCCTAGTCCTGTCTAACTTCCTATCTCGTTGGCCAAACAGTATTTTATTTAACAATCAATAAGATAAACAAACACAGTACATTCCCCATCACCCTTTTTATACTGTTTTTTATTTTTTTGAGACAGGGTCTCATGTATCCTAGGTTGGCTTTGAACTCACTGTAGCTGAGAATGGTCTTGCATTTCTGGGCCTGCTTGCCATGTTCTAGGATCATAGGCATGTGCAACCATACCAGGTTTACTTTTGTACTAGATTTCTCTTTATTTTTTAATTGATAATTTTGGTGTTTTATTTACTATTATTGTTATGTGAAGGGGTACATATGCCATGGTGTAAATGTGGAGGTCAGAGGCCAATTTTGGAGTCATGTCTCCTTCCTACTCTATGTGGGTTCTGTCTGGACATGAATCTTGGGCACCAGGCTTACATGGCAAGGGCTTCTCTCTACCCAGTGAGCCCTCTCTCTCACCCTCTTTATTTTTTCTCAGTGAGCGTGAATTTTACCAGCCAAGCATTACTTCCATTTTGGAGAGTGGAGAGGCTAGTGAGATGACCCACTGGATAAAGGACCCTGCTGACAACCATAAAGTCCTGAGTTCAATCCCCAGGCAAATTGAACCCTGGGGTTTCTGCTTGGGGACATTGTTCTCCGGTGCTGAGCTGGGTTGGCTTCGATAATGAGGTTACCATAGCAGGGACTGTGATTTCTGATGCAGGTATGAGTTCTTGACAGCACTGGGTATTGTAGCCTCTGTTTTGGTCTGAAGAAACAACAGGCTACCTCCTGTCAATGCTGCAGGAGGTACAGACAGGTAGGAAGGAGAGAGGCTGTTTCAGATTAAAGAGTAAAGATACCACAAACGGGCTGGAGAGATAGCTCAGAGGTTAAGAGCACTGACTGCTCTTCCAGAGGTCCTGAGTTCAATTCCCAGCAACCACATGGTGGCTCACAACTATCTATAATGAGATCTGTTGCCCCCTTCCAGCTTGCAGGCACACATGCAGGCAGAACATTGTATACATAATAAATAAAATCTTTAAAAAAAAAAAAAAGATACCACAAACAGAAAAGCAGGCCTGATGCGGTGATGGCCTCAGTGTCTGAAGAACTGTAACTATAAAGAAAGCTGTTGTTGCCGGATGGTGGTGGCACACATCTTTAATCCCAGCGCTTGGGAGGCAGAGGCAAGCAGATCTCGAGTTCGAGGCCAGCCTGGTCTACAAAGCGATTTCCAGAATAGCCAGTACTGTTACACAGAGAAACCCGGTCTCAAAAAACCAAAAGAAAAAAAGAAGGCGGCGGCTGTGGTCAGGCAGCTGGCATGGGAGAGTACCAGGATGTGGGCGCCTCCTGGTGGTGGAGGCAGAGCCCCTCATTCTTCCATATTCAAGTGTCATGAGGCAGATGTTCACTTCCAAACACTCCAGCAAGATAGTGTGTCTAGAGAGGGTGATGGTTGTAAAGCGTCATTGTCATTTGCTTCATATCTCTCAAAGTAGAGTTGCAGAGGGATGTTAAGAATGCAATACCTTCTCCTGTCCCATCAGCCTTGGACAGGCTACCAGTATCCCTAAGAAGAGAAGTAACTTTCCCTTTGCCGACAGTAACCTTCTTTACTGTAAGGAGATCCTAGTCTCCGAGCTTATGGGGCCAGATTGGCTCCTATAAAATGCATGAAGAGCTGTGTATTATATTTCAGGTCTTGGGGGCCTCTTCTTTTCGTATGTTGGCCTGGCACGTCCTCATGGGAAATCAGGTGATCTGGAAAAGCAGAGACGTGAACCTCGTCCATTCTGCATTTGAAGTCCTCCGGGTAAGAGCCTTTCCCTATGTGCTAATTTTGCCTTGGGGAGGACTATTAGAGGTACCACTGTAGACTATTAGGGGTACCAGTGCAAACTATTAGGGGTACCAGTGTATACTCTTAGGGGTACCACTGTGGACTATTAAGGGGTACCATTGCGGAGCCTCCAAAGTGTGTTTTCTTTGCCTGGTGAAAATGGCGGGCATTGACCCTTCTGTGGAAGGAATCTGTGTTGTCACTATTGACAGCTACACTGTTTTCTCCTTCCTCAATCTGAAATCCTTCTGAGAAGTCATCTGGACAAGCACTGGCACTTGCTGATGCTGCCCAGCTGTTCTCAGGTTGGGGTGGTGGTGTAGGAACAACTCACAGCATGTCTGCTGGCTGCCAAAGCCCACCAGTGCCTCTCTGGGCAGCGAGCATCTGAGCAGGCAAGGATGAGGGGAAGAGGCAGCACATGGTGGCAGTGGGGCCACTCTGTGGGCGAGCACAGGTGGGCAGAGAGAGCAGGGACACACTAAGGAGGGAGACTGTGGACCAGATGCAGAGGGTGCTCTTGTGGTGGATTCTGAGCCACCCTGTTCTCCACAGACCATGCTGCCTGTAGGCTGTGTCCGAATCATCCCTTACAGCAGCCAGTATGAGGAGGCCTATCGCTGCAACTTCCTAGGGCTCAGCCCTCCCGTGCCTATCCCTGCTCATGTGCTGGCCTCAGGACAGTCCTGTCTTTGAGACATGTAGTGCTCTCAAAGGCACCTGGATCCAGTCACTGATTTTAGAGCAAGGCAGTGCTCTCTGCAGCCCCAGATAGGACCTACTGGGGGTGTCCTGAGCCCCTGGAGCAATGCCTTCTGTTCGAATTAGGTCTGGTCTGCAGAAGTGTTTGCCTGTGAAATTCCTATACCAATAATTGGGTGTCTGTGTGGCCACTGAATCTTCAAGGTTGTTTCCATCTGCAGGATGGAATAATAGTGGAACCATTCACAAAGGGTCGCTTAGAATGAATTTACGTAGGTGATTTCTGACCATTGTAATATAAGAGTTATTTCCAGTTTGGCTGAGGCAAAAACTAGCCTTTAATGAATAAACAGCGAGAGGTATTAAGCACCAAACTTCACTCAGGGGAAGCCTGTCCCTGACACTGTATACTGAGAGGGGCGGGGCTTTGTTGTGGGTTCAAGCAACATATCACAAGATAGTGTGCATTTTGCTGCTACAGAATTTGCAGTTGTTGTGGAGGTTCACACAGCCACACGCTCAAACCTCCATCCGGCAGGATGTGAGGACGACCTGTCCCTCAGCAAGTACGAGTTTGTGGTGACCAGTGGGAGCCCTGTGGCTGCAGACAGAGGTGGGTGCTGCTGTTGGTGTCACCGTTCATCAGGGCAAGGAGGGGCACCAAGGCCTCTTCCTCATCCAGTGTTTATACCTGCAGTTGGGCCCACTATCCTAAATAAGATTGAAGCAGCTCTGACCAACCAGAACCTGTCAGTGGATGTAGTGGACCAGTGTCTCATCTGTCTCAAGGAAGAGTGGATGAAGTAAGTCTTGCCGTGACAGCTTCCTCAGCTTTTTTTGGGGGGGAGTGCTCTCCATGGCGGTGAGCTCACGTGGAAAAGCAGACAGTGTTTGTTAAAAAGAGGTCAGGCTGTGGCCCTTAGGAGCCTGTGAAAGTGGAGTTAAGAGCGGGGTTCAGACACCAGACCTGCTACTTAGGAGCTCGGGAAATGATCCTGGGCCCTGGGAGGTGGTGATAGCTGTTGAGATTTAATGCTGAGCATGTGAAAGAGGTTCTGACCAAAGCGCTTTCTTTATTCCTTAACTCACTTTTGGTTTTGGAGGGGCGAAGGATACTAGGCATCAGACGTAGGTACACCTGCAGTAGGGTGCAGCCGCACAGCTGTTCCTACTGCTTTATAAAAGAAAGTTATTTGTTTCTTTGAGTCTTAGTAATATTCTATCAAATTAACTGAGCTAGTTGAACATTTTCCTGGTTTCAAATAATGCTGTGACACCCAGGAGCAGTTATTTCTTCATAAATTCTTTTCTTTTCTTTTTTTTTTTTTTTGAAGATTTATTTTATGCATATGGGTATTTTGCGTGCATGGAACCATGTGCATGCCTGGCACTGTTAATCCCCTGGAATTGGAGTTTTAGGCAGTTGTGAGCTGCCGTGTGGGTGCTGGGAACTGAACCCTCGTCCTCTAGAGGAACAGCCAGTGAGTGCTCTTAACTACTGAGCCATCTCTCCAGCCCCCCGCCCTCTTTTTTGAGGATTTTTTTTCCTTGTCTTACCCAAGATGGCCTTAAACTTCCTGAGTTCAAGGAATCCTCCTGCGTCAGCCTGCTGAGTAGCTGAGACTACAATAAACCTTTCTCTTGTTGCCATTGTAATGGCCTGGCCTTCCTTGGGGTGAGGCCCTCAGCATGGCATACTTCAGTCTTGTGCCCTTCCTGTGAGTGGAGAAACTCCAGCGGGGCCTGCAGAGCTCTTACTGGTCTAGAAGTTGGGCCCATGAGTGAAGCTTGGTGCTTGGGCTGTGGGTCTAAGTACTTGTCTTTTTGTTTTTTGTAGCAAAGTGAAAGTCCTCTTTAAATTCACCAAGGTGGATTGTCGCCCCAAGGAGGACACACAGAAGCTCCTGAGTGTCCTGGGCGCATCAGAGGAAGACAACGTCAAGCTGCTTAAGTTCTGGATGACAGGCCTGAGCAAGACCTACAAGTCACACCTTATGTCCACAGTCCGAAGCCCCACCGCCTCAGAGTCACGTAACTGACACTGAGAATACCTGGAAGGTGGTATGCATCCCAGATCTGTGGGAGAAACTGCCATTGGGTTTATGACTGCTGCGGTGAAGCCCTGTTTGAGGAGTGAAGACTTCTGGGCCAGGCTCTGTCCTTTTTATGAGGCTCTGTGTCATCCTGTAGCTATTGAAATGTAGGGGAGACTGGAACAGTGGTCCCTCTGCATCATTCTGCCCCATCAGGGACTGTCAAGACATGCTTTGTGGCCTCTTGAGGACAAAGACTCAGAACTGACTGGAGTCATATCAGCCTGATTCTTGAGGTCTCAAATCTTCCCACTATGGAAGCCAGTAAGCATCCTGGATGCTTTTTTTGTGTTTGCTGGGTTGTTGAATTCTCAGGTCATGAGCCCAGCCATGGCCCCTGGTCAGCTTGCCAGCTTGTGGATACATCGAAAGAAATCATGACTGCTTTTTCTTTTTTTCTTTTTTTAATTTTATTTTTTGAGTCAGGGTCTTATTCTGTAACCTGGTTTAGAACTCACTGTGTGACCTCTGCTAGTTCCAGACTTGTAGCAGTGGTAGGATTACAGAAGGGAGCCACCATGACTTTGTTGCTTTCCTCAGTGTTACTGCTGCAGCATTAACCAGTGATTGCAGAGTATGACGGTCTTAAGACAGATTGTCTCTCACCATTGCAGTTTTAATAAGGATGCAGTTTGGAAGGGTTTCCTGAAAGGTTTCCCAGTTTGTTTTTATAATATTTTCAGTGTTTGTTTATATTTAACATAAGCTTATGTGTCTTGGTCTCTGTACAATTGCAAGAACATTGAAACATAATAAATCTGTATTTTTTTAAACTACTGACTACATGGTTTTTATGTTTGATGCTACTAATCAACTTGGTTCCATCAATGAGATGTAATTGTATGTACCATGTGCCACTTTGTACCAGTGGGGCTGAGGAAAGCATCGTAGGGCATACCTACAGATACAGATGGATTCACACATTGAACAATAGTATCTTTCATGGCTTGTGTTGTTTATGTGGTCCATTGTTGACTGGGCTGACCATGTAATCCCAACACTTAGGGAACTGAGGCTAGAGGATTGCTACAAGTCTGAGGCCCACATAGGCCATCCAGTAAGTTCTAAGCCAGGCTAGGCTACAGAGTAAGACCCATTCATCTAGCATTGCCCTACTTCAGAAAACAGCTCCACCCCTGTAGAAGGTCAGAGGAGGGCCAAAGAAGCACCTGTGTGAGAGTATAGTCTTAGAACAGAGAGGCACCCTAGAGCCAGCTCATGATGCTGGCCTGGGTAGATGAAAGCAAATGATGTCTGTTATCTTTGGATATGAGGTCTTGCTTTTCCAGCATGGAACATTCCCTGAAGTGCTGTCTTATGTTCAAACAAAGCTATTTTCAATTGTCTGCCGGGCCAGCTGCTGAGCCTCTTAATAGGTAGGAGCTCAACCTGAGGAAGCTCTGCATTCCCATCAGAGAGTAAAACTTGCTGCATCAATAGGGACAAAGGATGGGATGCTGTGTGTGCTTCTGGACCACCCCCAAAAAAGTATCATTCCTTTTTTGTTTGTTTGGTGTTGTTTTTTGGTTTTTGGGTTTTTTTTTTTTTGTTTTTTTTTGGGTTTTTTTTTTGTTTTTTTTGAGACGGTTTCTCTGTGTAGCTTTGGAGCCTCTCCTGGCACTTGCTCTGTAGACCAGGCTGGCCTCGAACTCACGGAGATCCACCTGCCTCTGCCTCCCAAGTATTGGGATCAAAGGCGTGCGCCACCACTGCCCGGCAACAATGTCATTCTTAAAGGTTGACTCAACCATCAGAAAATGCATGTGCTGGCTGGTTTTTTGTCAATTTGACACAAGCTAGAGCTACGGAAAAGGAGGGAGACTCAATTGAGAAATGCCTCCAAGCCAGGCAGTGGTGGCACACGCCTTTGATCCCATCACTTGGGAGGCAGAGGCAGGGAGG